TAGTGCCACCGCAGAAACGTGACGACTGTGCAAAAATAACTACATAAAAGACACCACTGTTACAGAAAGACTTTACACGCTATTTAAACTGCCGATCGCGAACGGAACAAACCGTGATTGAAACTAACTGTGATGCCGCTCTTTATTCGTTGCGCCAAATGTCGCCCGTCAGTGGCAGACCCGCCCCTTTTAAAGCGCCAGCTTAATCCATCAATATGGGTTTCTACGGATGGAATTTATTTGATTCCTTCGTGATTTTTGCGGTCCTCGGATCCACTTTATGCATGTGGACTAGAGATTTGAGGCTCTAATCTTTCATTGTGTCCGAGGACCGGCAACCCAAGGCCAAGGACTTGACTCCCAAGGCCGAGGCCAAGGCCAAGGAATTGACTTCCAAGGCCAAGGCCAAGGACCAAGGACCGACCTTTGGACCAAGGACCATCCCTGGTACGGTTGCAAGGAATTTAGGGATTTCATCATCTATGGTCCATAATATCATCAAAAGTTTCAGCGATTCTTGAGAAATCATTGCATGCAAGCGACATATTTATGTTTAACACAACGTCCCAACTTCATCAGAATTGGGGTTGTACAATAAAAAGCTCTTTTAGTAAATACATCTGCTTTTCCTTTTTTTCTGCTTTTTTTTGATTTGCTTGACAAGATGTCAGTTGGGTCATTTTATTTAGCTAGAGACAAGTTGTTTATACCGAATTTGATAGTACTGTGCAGTTGTTCACAAACTACAGAGGCCATGCCCATGAAGGTGACCCACGGATGAGCCCAAACCTGTGGAGGTCCACAACCAGAGATTAGAATGAATGCAGTATAATGAAATCGGTCACTGCACTGTGGCTTGATGGGAAGCATGCCTGCATCACTCTTTGGGGTTTGAATCACGGCTCCAACCTTCCCGTCTGGAGTTTGTGTTTTCCCTGTGTTTGTGTGGCTTACTCCAATTTACTAAAAACAACATGCATTGTCCATGTGTGTGAATGTTTGTCTGTATGTTCCTTGTAAATGACAGACAAACCAGTCTAAAGGTCTACCTCGCTAGCTCACGTGCGATCGATAAAAGCCATTGAAAATGGATGTAAGGATTGTAACCGTAGACAAAAATACACAGAAGAGAGTGCATATAATATCTCATACCTTAAGGAACTACACATGGTCCCCGAAGAGTTACGGTTGTTGCTTGGTACCCTCACAGCAACAAGGACTTCACCAGTAGTTTAAAAATTGATGGTTGGATGAGAATATATAATCTGAGATGTGAACCACCATTTTAATCACAGTTACACACACATTCCCTGTTGCTTTTTGGAAATGTGATTTGCCATCCAGGTCTGGGCTCATTCGGTGTCCTGACACAACACCAGTAACAAACTGCAAAGGAAAAATTACGTTTTCTGTGCCCCCGCTGCATAAAAAGCAACTAAATGTTGTCTTGTTCATCATACCTGCGTCATGAGGTATACAGCTCAAAGATCTTAATCATAAGGTATACAGCTCAAACATCTTCGTCATTCATCTCTCTGTGATGGTTAGCAAGTTGGCCAAACAGTTCTGAGGTTTGGGTTTTAACTTATGGCTCCTGCCTTCTTGCGTGTAGTTTGCATAGGGTTTTTCTCTAGCACTTCAGATGCCTATAGGTGTGAATGTGACTGTTAATGGTTGTTTGTCCATATGTGTATTTGCGATTGTCTGGCTTTCCAGTCCTGGGTGTATTTCACGGAGATAGGCTCCAGCTCACCCGTGACAGAATTGAGGACAAGCAGTACAGAAAATGGATGAATGCAAGTTTGTGTCAAAATAGCAAGTACAGGACCTTACCGTAACTACCCTATCTACAGTAAATGTGTGATTGCTAGAATCATACTGTCCTTCCTCCTCTATAGACACTTATTATCCTGTCACATGAGGATAGGCCGTGAAAGGTTTGTGAGATGGGAGCATGGCTTTAGAAAGACGTTCTTACCCTCCCACCAGTAGTTCTCGGCCACGCATTTGTAGGTCTCCTCCAAGGAGAGGTGACGCATGCCGGGTGGTCGCCGGTGAAAGGTAGCGACTGCCTCCAGTCTCCGATCCTCGTCCAAAACCTCCCGGTAGTTGAGGAACCCCCTCTCCAGTTTCTTTCGGTAAAGCAGCCCGCCGATCCACTCGAAGTTAGGTGACCAGCTCCTTTCGCCGGCAACACTCGACCACGGCTTCGGGGGGCAACGTGTCCCCTTCACGGCCATCGTGATTTGTTTTGTATCCGCTGATAGATAGGGTGAAACTTTGTCCCTGCTTTGAGGAGGGCCCAGTCAAAACTCCCTGACGTCCAGTTTAACACACTTTGACACCCTGATAAAACATCGGTTGTCTATTCGGATAATTCGTTAAAAATTATTAGAACATTTCTCTCTTATCAAATGTTACAGGCGAAAGTGCCAAACGACAACATTTCAGTAGATGCTGCCGATTTTTAGCCTTGATGTCATCGCAGGCATCACTCGTCCTCGTCCAAACATGAAATATTTATATGGCTATAGTTAATGTTTCACAAACGTTACGGTCACGTTGTTGTTGTGACGTTCAAACGGCGACACGCTTGCTTTGGGAGACTGTCGTTGGAGTGGAGATAACAATTGCAGCCCAGTGGGGGGAATCGCGCCAACAACGCCAAGTGATGTAAAGTCAGCCACCTCGTTCGGTCCCCAGCCGTTAGCAAGCTTTGCCCCCGGGCAGCGGTCCGCGTTACATCTACCTCAGGTGGTCGGGAGTGGCCTTTGGAGCAGGATGGCTGGGGACGGCGTTAACTTGAGATTTCTTTCGGCCAACTCGAGTCGGAAGCAACATGATGACGCAGCTATCAGCTCACCATCGCCACCTCCAACGACCTAAAAAAAAGCGAGTTTGCCCTCCGCTATTAGCCCTCACAAATGTTGCAAATAGCCACCTGGCCTCGCCGAAAAGCGTGAAAACAGGAATCGGGTTAACACAGATGTGAGTTCATACGCCTTCGGTGATGGCAAAATCCAATCCGGTGATGAAATAATCCAAAGTGTAAACTCGCAACCTTCTGTTTGTTGCTAATCAGCCTAAACGAGCCAACTCCTCCCCGCCTTCACACAGTGCACATCAGTGTCAGAGAGAGAGAGAGAGAGAGAGAGAGAGAGAGCGAGAGACTCCCAATAGAACTCTATTACAATTGGCTGACCGATATGTCAATCTGTAGTTTCCATACCCCTCGAAAAACAAGGTAGGTTGACCGATATTAATATCAAGTGGGTGATTTACGAAAAAAACTAAATTTAATCTGACACAATGTTTTCGCAGTACAGTACTGCATATATTTCAGTGCTATTTATTTAGGGTTGAGAAATTCTCGGAACTTAAATATTTTCATAATCACTTCATCACTGAAATGCATCTGAATGTCTTTGTCTTGACTGTTATTTAACTTTTTTATTTTTACAATGAACTTCAAGTAATCACCAACTGCCTGACTATTAATATCGATTTATTCTTGTGTAAAGTATCAGTCCACATAAACATTTTACTCAGTTACCGTACTGCAGAACATCTTACATTTAATATCACGTGCATCATTTGAGGTTTAAAAACACACACATACAACATGAGTATTTAATTTACATTGTATTGATTGTGAATAGTTATGTGGAAAATTACTCAATTAAATATTACTAAATTATGAAACATTCACCAGGATCCTGTACCTTTTAGAGAGGGGAGGGAGATGACGTTTCTGGGTTTAAACATATGAAAGGGTTGAGAGAAGCTTCCTGATTTCTGTGTAAACTGTCACTTTTGTGTGGAGTAAAGAGAGGATTTGCCTTGGTCTGCTCATCTTGTCATATACCACATGTCCACAAGCACACCAAGAACATTCATATCATAAAGAAAAAAAAATAATTGAAGGGATTAAACGATTGGCAGAACATCAGACTAGTGGTTAGCACAACTGCCCTCACGATTGTGAGGTTTAGGGTTCAAAACTTACCCAAAGCATTCCTATTTACTGTATGAGTTTGATATGTCCCCCGTGTGGATACTCAGTCTTTCTCCCACATGCCAAAACATGCATTTTAGGTTAACGGATGACTCAATAGCCCATAGGCGTAAATGGTTGTTTGTCTGAATATGCCCTGTGATTGACTGGCGACCAGTCCCAGGGTGTACCCCACCTCTCACTCAAAGTCAGCTGGGATAGGCACCATTTACCCACAACTTTTGAGTGCAAGTACAATACATAATGAATGGCTAGAAGGGCAATACTGAAGCAGACTTAGACAAAAAATAGATGTGGTTTAGCTTTGCTCTGAATAAAAAGTATTATACATTAAACCTTTTTACTACCGAGTGGACATTTGGAGAGTTCAAACCCCATGTGCCAAACCCGATCAGCAAAATAAGACTCAGGAAATACAGCATATTCAAAATTCGCACAGCACTAAATCTTCAAGTGCTATTTTATTATTGCAAGTTTATTACTTAAAGTATTAAGAATTGAAAGATCAAAATGTTATGTACTAATGTAAGACATCACAGAGCAGCTAATTATTATATAACAGTCGATAATTTATTCACACAAAGCATTTATGAGTTTGAGTGCATCATGCGTGAAGACGTTACCCTCTCAATCACAATGGCATTGCGGTATTTCACACCAGATGATGTGATCATGACGTCAGTCTCACAGTCATATTTTTATCATGGTCACACTAAGGCTGAATGATGCTGCTTGTTGCGGTAACATTGTCATCCACCTTGGGCCGCTTAGACTCCGGGGGCTGACAAAGGGGATCGGTGGGGGGAGAAGGGCGTCCTGGAGGAAGAAGGCAAAGGAAAAGATGTTAGACAACACTGTTCAACAAGTCAGTTTGATCAGTTATTAAACCTTAAAGGGCTTGTCAAGTTTCAGTCAGTTACTATCACGGTGAGCTGAATTTCTACGTTGTAGGCTGTCACTAACCAACACTAATATAGGAGTAAAGTCAAGATTGTCTTAAATATTTTTATGAAAACAATTCTCTGCCGAAAAAAACAAAACAAGCCCAGAGTGTGTATGTGCGTAGGTTAGCATGACAACGCATTCTTACGCCATTGTTATAAACCAAGGACCTCTTGTACTATTTTTCTGATTTCAGTGAAACTTTGTGGAGGGATGAATGATGTGCAAAGGAAGAACTAGGATTTAAATATTACTGCTCGATACGACATACTGTAACAGACTGACCATGTTTAGCTTTCTCAGTAGACGCTGTAGAGCTGAAGAGCAGAGTGGTTGTTTGTGAGCCAATAGGAGTCAAAGAAACTCGCCTGGAAACAAAGAGAAAATAAGTTAGTTGCAGAAGGTCCATTCATGTTATTCATCGTTTTGTTCACTTACTCATTGTCTAGTTGTAAAACTAGCTAAAGTCAGCTGGGAAAGACCAGCTTCAAGTTACATGTTTAAATACAAAGCTGGCAGACTCCATTGTCTGAGCAGCCAGAGTGATTATTTGGCAATCAACAGGGGGTCCAACGAACACCCTAAAACCAGACAAGGCTTTGTTCAAAGCAGAGCGCTTACAACAACCAAAACAAAGCAATTAATGTCAAGTCTCTCTATTTTCATAACACAGATTACCATTTCATATATTTACAATCACTTCCAGGTGTATTTATGCACAGAGTGAGAATTTTCAGTCACATCCTGAATGGAGAGACTTCAATGTAGAGCAAAATAAATTATGGAATACTCAAATGTTTATTCCGAGCCACCAGTAACCCAATTTAATACTTGTGTGGGACTCATGATCGAAACACCAAGAGTGAGTCGTCATTCTTTCTATTAGAGGGCCATAGACTTCTAGAAGCTTCTCAACCTCTGCATGCATTTTGTACCGTAACCAGCAAATATCAGGTTAATCTGATTAACTTTATTTCCCTCAATACTGGGGGGAGGCGGTTGTAATCTGTGTAGCTCCCTTCTGTAGATATTTTCTTCTGTACATTGGCAGTGTGGGTCACACCAGTGCCATAGTGTATAATAATAATTTTATGCTATAGTGCTATCAAAATAATTCTCACCATATTCGATTTGTTCCTTTTCGCACAATTGAATGAGATTCAGGACGAAGGCGTAAAAGATTCAACCTTTCCAAAGATCATATTACGAATATATTAATTGAAATGGCCAGAGAGGTCATTCAAATTACATTGTTTCATTACTGTGGTTGTTGTTTGCAGAACTGTATGACATCAGACTGAAAGCTATTTCAAATAATTTGGTTCATTTCTTTAGTGACACGAGGACAAAGTCATAGAAACATCTCTTAGTGTGATGCCTTACAGTACTATCCATGTCCAAAACCTCCATAAAAATACACAAGCGAAACTTTATAAAGGGGCGTCACAAGTGAAAATCCACTAAATGCGAGAATCAAAGGAATTAATTTTTGCTGTAAAAAAAAAAAAAAGAAAAAAAAAGTGCCATCGCCATTCTTATAGTTCTCCCTGATTCAGATAAGACCAAAATGAACATGGCACCCCATAATTTTAATAGTTATTAGTTTGGTTTTGGCAGAGGTCTGCCATATCTTTATGATGATGCAGATCCTACATTAAATTTCATTAGGTTGTGCTGGGGTACGTCATGTCATAAAATGCAATAATACGGATTAAGATTGAGGCTATTTGCAGCATTTTTAAAAACTTTTCATTGCTGTAAATGAGTCTGAAAGGAATTCCTCTATTTTTAAATTTTATTATTAGTATTTTTTTTGTTTTTACCTTGGAGTGGGTCCTTTAGACCCTATGGCACTTTTCGGAGTGGTGGGCAAGTTGGTGCTGTTGAGGACTTTGGGTGTAGTGGGAGTGAGCGGGGTGAGGCGGATGACCTTCTTCGAGGAGCTGGGTGTGAGCGGGTTGACGCCAGGTTGAGGAGTTGACGGAGCACTGGTACTTGCAGACATTGGCTTCTGAGGGGTAGAGGGAGGCATGCTTTTTGGAGTGGTGGGCTTCCCCCACGCCTCCAGTGTGTTAAGGGTAATCTTTCGAGGCTGAGGCTTGGACTTTGTCTTTTTGTCATCTGGGGTCCTGACAGAGGAGCTGCCTTCTCGGCCTGGGGTGACGTGGGACGTGGGAGTGGAAGCAGAGCTCGACGGCTGGGACACGGGGGATGAAGTTCGGGCTGCTGGAGTCTTTCTGCCCTTTTTCTCAGCAGCGCTGGTAGGGGTGAACACTTCCAGAGTGGGAGGCTCCTTCAGTGGAGTTCCCAGCTCTCCCGACGAGAAGGACAGGAAGGAGCAGTAGCCATCTGTGGAGGACACAGCCAGGAAGGAACCGTCTCGAGACCTAAGACAAAATGCAAGCAATTGATAAAATTACAGTTGGAATACACATTTCCCCATGAACAATCAACACATGCTCTTGGATCACAAATGGACGGTTTTGTGGAAGTCCTCCACTCGTTCATAATCGTGATTTCAATATCATTATCAATCATGATTTCAATTTCAACCAAAATAATCCTGAATATTTCTTCCATAACCTCCCAGCCTTATTTACAACAACACATATTTTGCCAAAACAATGCGGTCCTTTCATCCCTTATGAAGTGATTTAATAATTCAGTACTATGCACCTTATTCCTGAGAGCTCTCATGCAGAAACAATTATGGGAGTGACTTCCTGTAAGACACTGGAAGTAGCGGCGAGCTATTTGTTACAATGGATTTTTTGTTTTGTTTCGTTCAGTTCATTACAATGTTCTTAACGTGAGCTTGAGAACGTTTTTCAGGCACTGAACATCTAATGTTTAATTGAGAACCTGGACGTCACAACTTTGAGGCAAGCAGTATCATTTTATGGTAAAATATGAAACAAATAACTCAGTGCACTCCAAGTCCAGTTTTACTGAATATGTCGTATCATATGATTTTGGTTTGGATTATTATGGAAAAGATCGTTCCATTACCATGTGAGGTCACTGAGTGTGTGGTAATGAATGTTGGACACCAGGCCAAACGGAAGAGCCTGCTGCGTGTCATACAGGAAAATCGAGTCCTCGGAGGCCACTGCAAACACCATGCGGTATGGCAGCTTGAATAGATTAGGAAGGGGCTCGGTTGAACCGTCTAATA